GGATTTGACTTACTCTGTTCTTTGGAAGAAATTGGGCTGCGTCAATTGCTTATGCCATCCTAAAATTTCCTCAAAATTTCACATGTCTCTAACGCTATTCAGCTACGGTGTGCATGCAGTACAAATGAAAAAATCCTCCGCTTATGCAATGCACACAAATGGTGAAGCATTTATAATTAATGACCATGATACTGGACGGTAGCAGCACGAAAACGCTTTATCAGAGAAAGTGCTGTGTGCTCACTCTTGCGATCGCTCCTGCTGCTTATTGTAGAACTCATCGAGGAGTGTATCCAGGCAAAACTGGGAAAATTGAAGTGCTCAAGGAGCTCTTAAATTCTCATTTTCCCGCTTCGAATCCGTGGTCAACTTTATTTGTGGTCTTGGCTCCCTGCGAAGCTCGAAGCGTTCACGCTCACAAAGTCTCTTTTTAGAGAGAACATGACTCGTACCTACTACCCGTCTGGTACCCATCACTGAACTCGATCGAAGTTTTCTTATCAAGGCGATGCAATGATGGCCCATGCCACCACTTCGGTGTCCCGTTCAAGTTACAACTGGCCCATGTCATCATTTTCGCTCGCTCGGTACGAAAATTTTTCCAGAGAGAATCCGACAAAGTTCGGCGATGGGTACTACGCGGATTGTGAGTGCAACTCATATTCTCTCTGAACAGAGACTTTGTGAGCGTGAACGCTTCGAGCTTCGCAGGGAGCCGAGACCACAAATAAAGTTGACCACGGATTCGAAGCGGGAAAATGAGAATTTAAGAGCTCCTTGAGCACTTCAATTTCCCCAGTTTTGCCTGGATACACTCCTCGATGAGTTCTACAATAAGCAGCAGGAGCGATCGCAAGAGTGAGCACACAGCACTTTCTCTGATAAAGCGTTTTCATGCTGCTACCGTCCAGTATTAGGGCTAATATTCCGAACTAATTAGTTATAAATGCTCCCATTTGTGCATTGCATAAGTGGAGGATTTCCTCATTTGTACTGCATGCACACCGTAGCTGAATAGCGTTAGAGACATGAGAAATTCTGAAGAAACTTTAGGATGGCATAAGCAATTGACGCGGCCCATTTTCTTCAAAAGAACAGAGCAATTCAAATCCACGCGTTAACCAAAATCAAACAACACCATTCTTAGTTTTCCGACACGCCGAAAACGATGGTTGCTATGCCGATTTACGAAATTTCCAAATAAGTCAGAAAACTGAAAAAATCAGGGGGTGGCATATACAATTGACGCGCACTGTATTAGTACCAGTTTGGTTGTGCATGCATTCGCTTACATCACATGGGACTGCAATGGCATAAAACAGGGCCATCGATATTTTTTGGAGCTTCGCGGCAAACTCCGCCTATCCTGTGCCATCCACCGATAGCGAAAGTCCTATCACTACTTTTTGCGGTTTCCAAGACTTCTTGGAATCAATTAAATAAGTTCGGTTACTCCACTCGGCGCACGGCACGCCCATCATCAATCTTTACCCTTATCTCCTTCACTAACTTTATCCACTCTTTTCTGGTTTCTGGGACTTCTATGAACTGAATTATGAGGATTTGTATTAAACAATACCTAACTGGGGTGGAAACCCGCCCGCAGTAGGCGAAGCGTGTTCTTGAGTGGGCACTGTTTATTACAAATCCCCATGATTCGGTTCAGAGAAGTTCCAGAAACCGGGAAAGAGTGGATAAGGTTATAGAAGGAGATTAGAGGTAAAGGTGGTGATGGGCGTGCCGTGCGCCGAGCGGAGTTTGCAACCGAACTTATCACGCGATTCCGAGAAGATGAGCGCATCTTAGACATTGCACTTCTGAACTCATTTGTTCTTGCTCCATTGGCTTCCTACTGACCAAGCTATGATTTTTTGGGTTTGTTTGTTCAGAAAAAAAAAGGGAAAGTGAGCAGAGCCAGAAAAGACAGGAATGAAGGATGTGTAACACCTGAAATGACATCCTTACGATTATTTCCGTGAATGAATACAAAAATAAATAAGCATCCGCCACATGCATTTAACAAAGCAAGAACACGAGCGATAAGTTAAAATTAGTCTCAATGTAGTGATGTGAAAAAGTTGAATAGCTATGGAAATCGCATACCTCGTGAAACATCACAGCAATGAGTACGTTCATGAAGTCATCTTTATCATGCTGCAACAAGATTGCTCGGTTAACGTGATCTTTTCTTTGACACAATTATAGAACTTTTCGTCGAGATACGTTACCTGTACACCTAAAGCAATTCCTTCGAAAAATGAGTGAATAGATAGCCCAAATAATAGAAAGAGAGTGCGAGCAGATATACCATCAGTAGGAGGAGGAGCATGGCTATGCCCTGCGTGCGGAGAACCGCAATCCATCGGAGAGGACTGTAATGAAATGCTATTTGAAACTTGCCTTTTGGAAGCTGAATTTCTCAGAAAATAATCAAAAGCTTCCTTTTTCACTGTAGCATTCGCAATAAAGATACTCTATCAGATTCCACATGCCTTATCATGATAATACCTTAACTTCACTCTTCACAAGAATCCTAGCTACCAAACGATGAGGTGGGAGTTCGCTGCAAAACTTGTTTCCTAATCATTTTCTAGTGGACATGTGGAAAACACATATCAACAGGGACGCACTTTCTCCTTCTGTACTTAGTACGACTACAGCAACGTAAACTCATTTAGGAGGGATTACTTTGCATGGGACGCCCCTTAACACTATCACCTTTAGATTTGAAAATTCATAGTTTTCAACCTTGAAACGAATTGAGTTCAAGATTATGTTCGCCTAACCAACACATTGGCGACACCGTGACGCGACTGTACGTCCCACCTTGCACACCACGTCGGACATTGTGACGCGGTCATGCGTCCCACCCAAGTCATCACTTTTCTCGCGCTTGCGCGACTTCTTCCGAAATCGTTTGCATTTATTCCATGGATTACATCCAACATGACTGTAAAGGACATGGTCCACCGCATAGTCAAATATGCTTCAGTTTTTAGGAAGTTACGAAATTTTCAACTATGTTATTAGTTGTTTTCTTCTCATTCTCAAGACCGTGTAAATGAAAAAGAATGAGCAGAAGGTAAAGATCAACCCTATGCAGCATAGCCAGTCCATGTTTCCTTAAACGATAAAAACCGTCAGAATACTTTTTTTACTTTAAAGGCAAAAGTCGGGCTCAATAAGGGGGTATTATGGCGATTGAAACTGAGTATAGAGATGCGAAGTGGAACGACAGTGGAGAAAAAACTGAGAAAAACCGTCGACAAGGCCGTTAACAAAACCCTCTTTCCACTAGCAGTGAAGGAGGCTGGCTTGGGAAAGAGGCACGTACAAACAAGTTTTCTGAAGATATCAGTCGTTCTATCGGTTGATACGGCAATCAACCTAGCTGATTCACACGTTATGCCAGCCACGCACCACTTCCGGAGGTGGGCGGTCCCGGATTGACGAGGCGGTCCCGGATTGAAACCGACGGCCCCGGGGGCTTAACGACGTTTTCAAGGTGGGACGTTGCTGCAATGTGTGCAGCTACTCACATACAACCTCCGGGCACGGGAATTACTCCTCTAGCGCGGCTGAGCCCGACCTTTGCCTTTAAGACAAAACAGAGCAAACATTTGCTCTTCCATTGGCAATCACTTTATTGTTTTATCGAAGTTTCACTAATGAGCTACGCATTAAGCCAAGCATCAAATATTGCTGAGATGGTTATCGGCTATTTATGTCTTCACAGAAATCACTCAAAAATTACGGGTGTGAGGTGGGGTGGCTCGCGCTCGCAAGATCGCGCCTGTCTCATGTGGCCCAAAAAAGGCAAACGAGCGCTCTAAGAGCCAACGTTCTAATGGAGGGACTCGTCTTTACCTTAAGCCAATGAAAGAATGAAAATTTTAGAAAATATTTTGTGCTTCAAAAAAGACAGTGGAAACGCTGTTAATGTGAGCGGAGTCTCCTAGAACGTTTTCTTTTGCTGTTATCGTATAGGATCTATTTGGAAACGAAAATCATCAATGGTACGAAGAACCACCCCCTACACATCAGCGTGTCAGCGATTTCCCCTTGGGCAGTGTTTTCTATAACCAAGCATCCTGTGATAAAAATACTGGTGTTTATTCAAATCGTTCTTATGAGTTTCGCTCAAGGAAAAAAGTGGCGCAACGAAATTGTCGGAAAACTCTCCGCTTCTATTGTAGGTGCCAAAAAACAAACAGACTGAGCAAATTGCTGGATTATAATTCCGAAATATGCGGTCCGATTGTTTGTAAGGAAGCTAATTAATAATAGTGGACGAAATTATTCACAGACTTGCTGAAGCAAAGCAAGTTCTGTTTTCTGCTCGACAAGTGAATATGAGGCCACGTTTCTGCGAACTGTGGCCCATCACGGCTTAATCTATGATATCGTGAATGGCATCATGGTTGTTCCAGCTCGAAACACGTTGCGTGAAATTTTTTCACACTTAGATGAGAGGAAAAATACATTGCGCCAATTACGATAAAGGAGAACACCTAAATAAAATAAACGTAAATTTCTTACTGAGCGAAAAACAATATCTTGCATGCCATCCTCGTGATCATCGAGAGTGGTGTCAACTAGAGGCTGACCATCTTCGGTATCTCCTTCAAGGAGTGATCTCAATGAAGGCAAGAGCATCTCCGCGACTCGGGTTGAAGTCTTGAAGATGACCCGTTGCTCGAGCACACGTGAACTAGCTAGAACATTCCAATGCTCTTAGAAGTGATATACGATAAAAAAAAACTACTCCAAAGTATCTTCGTGGCGCTCACCTGTTCAATTATTAGAATCATAAGGAATCCAAGTAAAACTACAGATTCGGTATTGATGAAGAAGCCACGTTCTTCAGGACTATTTTGAGTGGATGAGTTCTCATTTGCAGCTCTCCAAGACAATCTAAAAGATGGGAAATTATCATAAAAAAAACCAGGACAGAATAACACTCAATTGGAAAAATGAGGAAACCAAAGAACACTGGAACCTGAGAATCCCAGTGCCTCAGCGTTACCGCAGGATGCGGATGGCCTCACAAAAAATATTCCCGAAAGAAAGGAGCATATATCGCTTGCTGTCTGTGCCAAACATCACTACGTGGTGGCTTGGATAAGATCCGCTTATGTTGTCACCCGTTACATCCCGGGAAAACAAAGAAGAGCTCATTGAATGGAATGTAACATTTTCTGGTCTCGTACGGCTGTTTTTGGTTTCAGTAGGTAGAGGGGTGGGCTGTGTAAGCAAAGCCTCATTCTAAATGTTCAGAAGCAAACTTCTTGAGATCAAAAAATGTTAAAAGTTGTTGGCACTGTGAGGAGGACGATGTATGTAGATCGCATTTCACACTAAAAAAGGCAACCAATGACAATAAGACAAAAGCATCACAGACTCCGGTTTTCTGACAAGAGAGCTGTGGAATTTAAAGTCTCGTTAATGAGGATATTACGATTAGTTCAATAAAGAGATGAAGAAAGGAATACCGAATAAGGTCTTCCTGGTGGCGAACGTGCGGTATTAAACCAAGAAAACAAGTTGACAAGAAAATTCCACATGCTACGCAATTGCAAATAGAGAGTGAATTGATCCGCCTGTAAAACGTGAATATTTATATGCATCGCTCAACTCTCGCCACACAAACACCGCACCCGCTAAACTAAAAAAATAGGAGGTGGGAGACTCGTACGATTAGGTTTGAAAAATAAGAGGTGGAGACTGGTGCGATTAGGTTTGAAGTATAGTAGGGGATGCTAGCGATCTGCCAAGGAGCCCATCATTGCTAAAAACTTTACTTAGAGGACACTTATATCTGAGTACACTCCGCACGATCAGAATGCATATGGCTCATTGCCTCAACCGATGTAATGCTCATCTAGGGTCGCGTTCGTAGTTCGCGATTCAAGAGATTAGGATAGTAGGCGATAGGATATTAGGATAATAGTAGAGTAGAATATTGCGCTGACAAGATTAGATACGTATCGATTGGAATCGCTGGAGTAGTAGATTTAGCGACTTCAAGCGAATCGTCCCATAAGTATCTAATTCTTGTCAGCGCACTGTCCTAATCTACTACCTACCATATCCTGCTTCCTAATCTCTTAACCTCCAAAACACAACACCAACGAGAGTAACGAGAGAGCCTACGTTCTCAATTCCCGTGTTCAATACACTTTGACTGCACGATCTTGAACAATGAGAAATTTTTGCTATTATTTTGAGGCAATGGAACTTGCGCCTAAATCAGCGTTGAAGATCATGCACTTGTTTACCATTACAGCGTCTTACGACAAAAGCATGGTAATCCTCGGGAGCATCGCTGAGCCGCCACACATGTTAGTTGATTTTAATCGAGGAAAATCAATAAAGCTTGCCAGCTGGCTCTCTATCCCCCTGATAAGTCACATGTGAAAAGCGCGATAGTTGATAGATGGACTCACTTGCCTGTCATCAGTCGACGCCGTATAAATGAATGAGATAACAATATGGAAGAAATGTGCAGAAGACTAGAACAAGAAAGATGAGTATCCCTGACACTAATGCAAGTAGCATTTCTCTCAAAACTGATTAGTGGCTAAAACACCATCCCCGCCAAATCATCTGAAACGTCATGTTTAATCAAACGCAAATGAAGCTAATCGATTTTGAAGATTATAAATTTCAGTACACTGGTGCTACTACCAAAATGAGCGGAAAATTTGTACAAAATCTCACAAAGAATATTTTTATAACAACGGTATTATACATTAAAAACCAGAGCGTCGCAAATTCCTTGCCATAACAACAACACAAAGCCATCAAAACTTAACACTTCTGCGAATAAGACAACAAGTGAATATTAACAGTATGGTTAGGATGATTTATTTCAACGCCGTCCACGGGACTTTGCCACCTCTTGCACGTCCTCTGCCATGGAAGCCACCATATCCGCCTTTTGGACCGAACTTCTCTCTTCCCTTCATTAATGTTTTCGAAACTGCAAACAAGAAATTAAGCAAAAATGGTACTTAAGCTGAAACAATCTCATAAATATAAAACAACACCTTCGCTTTCAAAATATGTTACTAGAAGAAAAGTAACTGCTTATTAAATCTTGTATGAGACAGCTCCTTTGTCGTTCTCGTTTACAGTGCCTTTTTTCTTTCCTCCGTATCCAAACTTTTCGCTTTTCCACTTCTTCTTGGCATCAAAACCGCGACCCATTTTTGATCCACCGAAGTTTTTCATTTTTATTCGCCGAAGTCGATGGGCCATCGTCCTCCTAAGCAATATTTTCGATAAGGAAGAGATTCACTACTACTCACTAATACAACTGAGCGATAGAATGAGTTCATTGAAGCTTCCTGCAAATTCAAGATATAAAAATAAAAGTTATTCGATTTCTCACGACTGGCAGTTGTTCAGATTACCATATTATGAGACATGATTGTTTTATACATAAGTTAAGCCAAAAAGTTCTGAAACATGAACAGCGTCGGGATAATGCTTGTAGACTCAACTTCGGACTGTTCTCCACTGGAAGCTGTGCGCAAAACCTTCGCCTGAGTTGAGTAATCAGTGGGTGAGCGTTAGCAGAGGTGGACGACCTCACCAACAAAGCTGGTTTGGATTGGGATTCTCGAAGCAAAACCGCCACTAACCAGGAAGGTCTTTCAGGACATGGAGCCCTTTTTGAAAACGGTTTTTTGCATGATAAAGGGGCACATGCATGGAGTACAAAACTAGGCTCCATTTTTTCTGAGCGGCCCTCCTAATGCCAAAAAAGGTATGAAAAATCGGTCGAGGGATCGGTCCCGGCTGATGACAAAATTTTGCATTTCATGTTAGCGCATGTTAAATAACTCCAAATGTTACCGCCGATAAAAATAGGTACTGTTCTTACAATCAGGGTCATCATCAACCTTTTCTGATTAGCTTTCTGCCCAGAATTGGGGCGAAAATTGTATGGCGCTAAAGCGGCGCCGAGTTGGTGCCCGAGGAGGCTAAAATGGCGCAATATCGCGCCTCCATCAAAAATGGACGTCAGATTCGTAATCAGCGCCTATAATTACCCTTATAGCCGCAGTTTTAGAGAAGATCAAGATTTCGGCCCGAATTCAAAAATTGGGCCATGGGTTAGCCCATAGTCAGTACGGCATGCACGCTTCCCACTTGGAGACAGCTTCGAGATGATAGCAAGCGGCACGTTTGGTTGATAGTTACACTTCCACCGCAGTTCCTGCCCATGGGGCAATCTGGCATCACCCTGATCTCGTCGATGCATGGCGTATGCCTGGGTGGGCACTGGCATACGTCGAGCCTCAACACAGCAACTGACGAGCATCCTGGACGTTCCTCAACGCCAGGCAATCTGCCTTCAAGGGAAATGGAGTAGGTGTTCCTTGCGAAGAAAATGACAACTTCACTTTTCTGGCGTTCGTTAGATGCAGTTGGTGTGATCCGCGCCTGGGATTCAGATGCTTCATTGAGTTTACCATAACTGCTAGTTATTTATTGCCTGTAAACGGAATTTCGCGCACATGACTGAAAAAACATGGTACTACGAAATTCGCCAGTAATTAGTGGTAGAGAAAATTTTTTGAGAAAGACACTACTAAGGCTTTAAGTGCACGCGCAAAGCAACAATAGTAATGCAAAAAAAGTGACAAGCGAGAAAAAACAAAATGCAAAAAGGAGCAAATGGAAAGAAGCGGACACACCGAAACAACACACTACCGAACAAAACCGTCGCCAAACAGAGATCATCGCGCTATCAACCGCGACATTCCACCGCAACACTTAGAGATAAATGCTCACCACCAATTCTGAACAAATTCCTTAGTGCTTTTTAGCACTATCATAATATCAATATTATCAACAACCACAAACGGAACTGGCTTATAATTCCACGCAGTAATTGCCAACGTGTTGGTGAGGAGACCTTCATATACGAGTGCGTCCATTAACAGTTACGGTGAATAATAATCACTGAGAAATAGTGAAAAACTCACAGATATTATTAACAGGAATTATATTTTATACCTTATTTAGACAAATTGTCAGAGACAGCCGCTCAGAAAAATGAGGCCCTAGCCTATTGATATCATCCATGTGACCCAACTATACAACATGCAAAAAACGTATTACAAAAAGGAAGCTCATGTCCAGGAAAGACACTTCACTGGTAAGGATATACTTACAACTCAATAAAGAACAGGAGGTACCGATCCGAGAATCCGACCACCACACCACAACAAACCCCAACATAGGGGTAACCGTGATAGAAGGGAATGTCAAAAAGGCTAGGAGAACGGTGTAAAAGTGACATCTAAATACTTTAAATGAATCATACATCACGCAAGCTCCACTATACAAAGCAAGAACCAGGACACGAATGCTCGAACTGTATGCCAAAGGTTAGTGAGCTCACACACCCCCCCCCCCTAGAATGCACATACACTGGCCGATCATCAAGACTTAGAAAACAACCACATGAAAGAAAAAAAGCGATTTAAATAAGCCAAACAATTAAGCAGGAAAAAAGACGAACCGGAAAGAGAAAATAAATTATTGATACAGAACTGAAAAACATGGACGAAACGAAAATCATCAAAGAAAGAATAGAAGATCCAGGCCGGTGTAAATCTACCAAAATCAAAAGATACGAAAAGACAAATCAAGCAACACATAACCCCGGAGCTACAACGCCATTCCTAACTATCTTACAATGGTAGCAAGACACCACACGAAAAAGAAGATTAGAATAGATACATAAACCAGGCAAACTTCGAGAGAAGATGAGAAGAGGAGGCAAATTCAGCAAACG